CTAGTACAAATTGGAAAATTTTAAGCCAGATTTCAATTGGAATATATATTTTAATGTTTCTTTTTATTGCATTGAAAGCTCTCCTTGCTTTGTCCGTCAGATCTTTCACAGCCATGTTGAAGTTCTCTGTGTATGTAATGTTAAGGCCAAGGGAAGAGTAGATTTTTGTGTGTTGTGATTTAGTGGTGTCTAAATAGAAATTGTGTGTAACCTGATTTCTGTATTGTTTCTGAAAGATCATTATCTTAGTCTTTGCTGTGTTTGCTGTCAGGGCCCAGGTCTGACAGAATCTCTGAAGGAGGTTAAGGTGCTGCTGCAAAGCTTCTTTAGTAGGTGAGAGCAACACTAAGTCATCTGCATACAGCAGACCTCTGATCTCTGTGTCGTTCAGGAGGAGGCCAGGTGCCGTGGAGCTCTCTAATTGGTTTGCTAATTCATTGATGTATAAGTTGAAGAGAATTGGACTGAGATTGCATCCCTGCCTCACTCCCTGGCCCTGGGAGAAGAACGCTGTTTGTTTCAAATCTTTATGGCACATTCACTTTTTGTATTTTATCATCACCTCCAGAGTTTCCCATTTCGTGAATATCTTTTACTGATCATCATTTTTTTTTTTTTTTTTTTTTTTTTTTTTGTAATATTACTGTATAATTCACTAAAGTGATTAATCCAAGTATTTCCATCTTGGATCTCCAATTCATCCTGCTGGGTTTTGTTTAGGATCTAAGGGTTCCTCAGTTTCACAGAGCTGGTTCTTGCTGTGTTCTTAGTTTTTAGGGTGTACTTTCAGTACAGGGTGTTGTTTCAGAGTGGCCTCATATTGTCCACAGCAGAATTATTCTGGGGAAATGTTTCACTTAGAAATAAATTAGTTAAATCATGTATGTTTTGATTTTCAAGTGCCTTTTGGTACGCCCCCATGCTGTCTGTGCTCCATCTGTATGGGTATGTGCTATAACAGTTCACAGGCACTAGGGGCCCCAGACTTAGACTGAGCCCTTTTCAGATAGATAGTGATTTTGCTGTGGTCTGAGAGGGGTGTGAGGGGACTGTGAAAGCTCTGAGAGACAATGGAAGTAGATCTGTAATGAAATAATCTACCGTACTACTGCCAAGAGCTGAGCTGTAAGTGTAGCGACCCAGAGAGTCCCCTCGTAGCCTACCGTTGACTCTGTACAGACCCAGCGTACGGCAGAGCTGTAAAAGCTTCAAACCGCTTGTATTAGTAAGCTTGTCAAAGTTCTTTCTAGCAGGACATTCAGGGAGGGGGAAGCAGGTGCTTCCAGGTAAGTTTGTCTCCCTGCGTGTTCATAGTGTCACTCTTTCCCCTGTTCGAGCTGTAGCATGACTAAACTACCTATGAATTTTAATAAATTCATGACAATTAATACCAATTATGAATTTTAATCACAAAATATCAATCCCTAAAAAGCTCTTGCTTCGAAAGTGGCACCACCGGAGTTGATATTAACCTAGAGTCTCCGGGCCTCTAGATAGCTTTTAATAATTATACAATTATTCACCAGTGATCAGTAAGTTAATAATCACTCAGTTATCTTAAATCAAATCAGTCAGTCTCATATCTAAAGGGTCAATTCTCTTGGCAGGGACTCAGAAGTAGGCAATACACACAATTCCTTGGTTACAGTGAATTTATTGACTAAGGTGATTATAAAAAGCTGGTACATCAGAGAAATAAACAATGGCTAAACAATGAGAATGGAGGTTCGATTGTGGGAAGCATTTGACTCATACGGCAGAGGAGACTAATGATAGTAAGCTATGAGTTTAGGAGTTAAAAAGACAATATTAACACTATTTGACATCCCTGATCACAGAATGCTTTGTTTGGTCTTACTGCTTGTCAGTGGCCTGCTTTGGCTTGTTGCACGGGTGCCACGCTAGCATCCCGATCCTGGCTTTTTGCTAGGGGATTCTCCAAGGTTCTCCGTGTCTGAAGAAAAACCTCAAGGGTTGGCCGTCCTCCATCTGGCAATTCAGCTGTTTTCAGGTGTCCTTCGTTGCCACTGGGGAGTCCACGTGGCTGATCTGACCTCGGTGAAGTTAGCTCAATGAAAAAGCTTAAAAGGGAACTTAGTCGTTCTTGAATTAGACTTAACTTAACGGACTGATAACTTTTAACAAAAGAGAAAATAAAACAAGTAAAGTTGCTGGAACTGAGGGACAAATCGATGTCGCGGCACTTCGCATGTGTAGCTTCAAGCGAAACAAAAACTTTGTTGCGCTGATCGATTCTTAGGGCGTTGCCGGGAGGGCAGGCCGGGTGCGTGCTGAAGCGTCCAGAGAGTCTGAGGGTCTTAGCCCTTAACACAAACAAAATTTTAAGACCTTGTGGACACCCTGCAGGAAACATAACCTACAATATGTCTTTTTAAACCAAGCCAGTGATGGCGGGACAGGGACAGGATTATGGGATGGGAGAAACAGTTTCCGTCGATCAGGTATTCACAAAAGTATTTTACTATACTATTGTCTCCAGGTTCTACAGCTGTTTATGGGCCTTTTTCTTCTTTGCTAGCTAAAGCAGACTGACCTGGACCATCAGAACCAGTGTGGGCTGAGCAGAGCTTCATGCAGCTTGTGGGCTTTCCTCTGGTTTGTGCTGAGAAAAGATTTGAAGCTTGTGGGCAGCGAACTCAGCCGGCACACTGCCATCTGGTGGTTTACAGAAAATATAGCAGCAGTCCGAGCAGTAAAACAGCTCACTGATGTCCTGCTGAAAGTCCCACAGGCTCAGTCAAAGTGGAGGAATGTCTTGTTGATTTAATGAGAGAAAACGTTTCACTTGAACAATAAACCAATAAACAATATGTCTTTCTACTGATAAAGGAGAAACTGATGTTGGTTTTGTCCAAACCGTATCTGAAAACACACAAATTAATCAAGCTGATGTTGTTGATGTTTGTGTTTCTGGTTTCATGATTTATTTCTCAGTTTTTCTTCCCCTTGTGTCTTATTTCACTTCCTGTGTCTGTGCTCACCGTTTTTTTTTTTTCTGGATTATTGTTTCTTCATCTCAGACTGCCACCTTCACCACTGAACTGTAAGTTTTTTTTATTTATTTTTTTTTATTTGTTAATAAACAATGACTCACCAGACCTCCGTCTACAGAGTTTCTGCATTAACAATATTTTATGTGTCATATTAGATATTGATCTGTTGTGACTGTCCCTGTCACACTTTACCACTTCTGCCTCAAATTCTTATCTAAACAGTCTGAAAACTTTAAGAGCTGTGAGGAATCTTCATTTGGTCTGAAAGTGCAGGATGCCTCCCTGGTAACAGCAGGGCTTTACACTCACCTAAAGGATTATTAGGAACACCATACTAATACTGTGTTTGATCCCCTTTCGCCTTCAGAACTGCCTTAATTCTACGTAGCATTGATTCAACAAGGTGCTGAAAGCATTCTTTAGAAATGTTGGCCCATATTGATGGATAGCGTCTTGCAGTTGATGGAGATTTGTGGGATGCACATCCAGGGCACGAAGCTCCCGTTCCACCACATCCCAAAGATGCTCTATTGGGTTGAGATCTGGTGACTGTGGGGGCCATTTTAGTACAGTGAACTCATTGTCATGTTCAAGAAACCAATTTGAAATGATTGGAGCTTTGTGACATGGTGCATTATCCTGCTGGAAGTAGCCATCAGAGGATGGGTACATGGTGGCCATAAAGGGATGGACACGGTCAGAAACAATGCTCAGGTAGGCCGTGGCATTTAAACGATGCCCAATTGGCACTAAGTGTGCCAAGAAAACATCCCCCACACCATTACACCACCACCACCAGCAGCCTGCACAGTGGTAACAAGGCATGATGGATCCATGTTCTCATTCTGTTTACGCCAAATTCTGACTCTACCATCTGAATGTCTCAACAGAAATCGAGACTCATCAGGCCAGGCAACATTTTTCCAGTCTTCAACTGTCCAATTTTGGTGAGCTCTTGCAAATTGTAGCCTCTTTTTCCTATTTGTAGTGGAGATGAGTGGTACCCGGTGGGGTCTTCTGCTGTTGTAGCCCATCCGCCTCAAGGTTGTGCGTGTTGTGGCTTCACAAATGCTTTGCCACATACCTCGGTTGTAACGAGTGGTTATTTCAGTCAAAGTTGCTCTTCTATCAGCTTGAATCAGTCGGCCCGTTCTCCTCTGACCTCTTGCATCAACAAGGCATTTTCGCCCACAGGACTACCGCATACTGGATGTTTTTCCCTTTTCACACCATTCTTTGTAAACCCTAGAAATGGTTGTGCGTGAAAATCCCAGTAACTGAGCAGATTGTGAAATACTCAGACCAGCCCATCTGGCACCAACAACCGTGCCACGCTCAAAATTGCTTAAATCACCTTTCTTTCCCATTCTGACATTCAGTTTGGAGTTCAGGAGATTGTCTTGACCAGGACCACACCCCTAAATGCATTGAAGCAACTGCCATGTGATTGGTTGATTAGATAATTGCATTAATGAGAAATTGAACAGGTGTTCCTAATAATCCTTTAGGTGAGTGTATATTCATATAGACAACAGAGATTTGTCAACCAGCAGAGATTTTGTTGAACCTTCATTTGTCAGCTTTTAATTCACTGAGTTGCTCAAAGACAAACATTCACAGTTTGGACTACAAACTGATTTTTATTGGATTTCCAGAAAAAGTACTATTTCATAGAAACTGACAAATTGTGGTTTAAGATTTTATCCAGATTGCCAAAAACACAACAGCTGCTGCAAAACAGCTGCTCTGAATTCCATCCTAAACAGCAGCATGCCTACCACTAAAACAGCAGAAATTACACTTAAAAAGTACAAAGTGCTAAAGACGTGTTGAGATGCTCTTCCTGTGTTAAACATCCAAACAACAGTCCAAATAAAGATTTAGGAAGAAGACAGCGAGGCGGCTAGAATGAGCTCAGTTCATCTAAAATATCTGCTTTGCTTCTGGGATTAAAGGAGAATAATGACAGACATCAACTTCCAGCTCCAAACTAATAAAACACATTTTATTTCCATGTGTTGAAGCCATCACAGTGAACCAGAGCAAGTTGACCAAAACATTTCCCAGCAGCCACTTCTCCCACAGCAGAGTCCAAACAGTGCTTCCTGTTCTCTACAGTTAGGTGTCTTATTGGAAATGGTCTCAGTAGATAACAGGATCTGTCTCGTCTCTATCCTTTCTATTGGCCTCCATTTCTCCTCCTGTTTCCTCCCCTTTCTCTCTCTCTCCCTCTTTCTCTGCCTACATGAAGCTGACTGTGGAAATGTTGTCGTCATTCATACTGGTGGACTGCTGATATCATTTCTGTCCATTCTGCAGCAACACACAGAGGCCAAAATCTTGTCTATGAACCCTTTCCTCATGAAGACATACAGGAACAAGTCTGCAAGAGGACTGACCCTAACTAAGATGAAAGACTGGTTGGTGAGTCTAAAGTCATAGTTTTCTAGAAACTGAGATTTTTCATTGTATACTTTCAAGAACCAAATGATTCTGGGCAGGAACAGCAGTGTGTAAATAAGCAGCACCAGAACCAAAATTCCCACAATTCGTCGTTTTTCATCAGAGGGGACCGAGATGGAAGCAGACAGGGCTTTGAGGGTCCCAACCAGGAAGAAGATTAACAGTGGGAAGGGAAGGAGGAAGAGAATGGCAAAGCCTAACTCTGGACTCTCAAGAAAATGCGAACAAATGAACATAAACAGAAGAGGAAATATCCAGACCAGGACACAGAGCACCACAGAGGTCTTGATGGTTCGTCTGAAGCGGTACCACAGTGGGTGGGCGATGACCAAATACCTGTAATACAAGATGGACACAAAGTCTTTGAGGAGCTTCAGAGTTATAAACTAATATAATGTTCAGACAGAAGGAGCTCCACACATACTGGATAGACAGATACCTTTCCAGGGCGATGCAGACCATGAAGTAAACACTGGCAAACAGAGCAGAGAAGTGAATAATAGAGAAGACGAAAAGTATCTTCTCATCCTCAGATCGTGTCACCTCAACGATCATGCAGCAGAACTGAATCAGGTCAGCAATGAGAAGGTTGATGACGTAGATCGGAGCAACATGATCACTTCTCACCTGCAGAAAAACAACCTACGTCAATGTAAGTAAGTAAACTTTATTTATATAGCATCCTTCACAGACAAGAGGGGTCACAAAGTGCTTCACAGTAAAAAAATAGAATACTACAACAACACTTAAAATACAAAACTATATGGCTAGTTAAAAGCTTGTCTAAAAAGATGTGTCTTAAGGTGTTTTCTAAAAGTTTCCACAGAATCCAAGGCTCTCAAGTCTAAAGGTAGAGAGTTCCAGAGCCTTGGAACCACCACACAGAAAGCACGATCACCTCTAGTTTTATATCGTGTTCTGGGAACAGTTTAAAGGTCTTGGCCAGAAGACCTCAGAGAGCGACCAGAAATGTGTGTATGCAATAGATCCTGGATGTAAGAGGGAGCTTGACCATGCAAGGCTCTGTAAGTAATGGTTAAAATTTTAAAATGTACTCTAAAACCAATCGGAAGCCAATGAAGAGCCTTAAGCACAGGAGAAATGTGTGATCTCCTGTTGGTTTTAGACAAAAGCCTTGCAGCTGCATTCTGCACAACTTGCAGTCAGTCTATGGAGGATTTGTTTAGACAAGTGTACAGTACATTGCAATAATCCAGACGAGAAGAAATAAAAGCATGAACAAGCATCTCCATCTCTTCTTTAGAAACCATAGATCTAATCTTAGCAATGTTCCTGAGATGGAAAAAACAGGAACGAACCACAGATTTAACATTACTGTTAAAACACATAGATTTATCAAAAATGACACCCAAATTTCACACAAAATTACTGTCAGAGGATGATAGAGCCCCAATGGCCTGCCTGATCTTAGGGGTAATGTTGTCTGGGGCAAAAATCAACACCTCAGTTTTGTCTGTATTTAGTTGCAAAAAGTTGTCTGCCATCCATTTGTTAATGGAGGCTAAGCAATTGTGCAACACGGACAGTTTGTCTAGCCTATGAGGACTAAAAGATAAATATAATTGGATGTCATCAGCATAACAATGATAAGATATGTCTTCAAAGGTATCAATAATCTTTCCAAGAGAAAGCATATACAGACTGAACAGCAGGGGGCCGAGCACAGAACCTTGGGGCACACCACAGGACAAAGGAGCAGAGTCTGACATATATGTCCTAGGGCACAGAGAAACTCCTGTCAGAGAGATAGGAGGAAAACCATTTCAGAGCCGATCCAGTAATGCCCACAGTTGTTTTCAGTCTATCAGAGTGCAGTGATCAACAGTATCAAACGCTGCACTGAGATCTAATAGGACCAGCACAGAACATTTACCCCCAACAGCAGCCATCAAAATATCATTTGAGACCCTAAGGAGGGCAGTCTCAGTTGAATGGTTTTTACGAAAACCAGACTGAAATTTATCAAAGATATTATGGGAATCAAACATTATTTATCTGGTTCGCAACAACCTTTTCTATAATTCTAGAAATAAAAGGCAATTTAGAAATAGGCTTATAGTTTCTAAATGAGGCTGCATCAAGATTGTTCTTTTTCAAGATGGGCTGAACAACCGCATGCTTAAAACAGCTGGGAACCTGGCCCAGCTGAAGAGATGAGTTTAAAATTTAAACCAAACATGGGCCAAGTAGATGTATGGATTTTAAAAGCAAAGATGTGGGTAAAATATCAACAGGGCTTTGGGAAGGTTTCATCATGCCCACTAACTTCATGATGTCATTCAGGGTAATGGGGCAGAAGGAGTCCAGTATTGAAAGTCTGTGATGTTTAACTATACCGGGGTTTGCTGATGGAACAATGCCTGCCCTGACCGCTCTAAACTTGTCCACAAAGTGAGACAAAAAGTGGTTGCAGTCAACATTTGAAAACACAGGGACAATACATGCAGCAGGAGAAACAATGTTGTTAATGGTCTCAAACAGAGCTTTAGGATTTTTTTACAGGCAGATATCAGTAAAGTAAGAGGATCTACTGTAGCATCCTTGATCATTCCGTTTAAGTCTATTAAGAGCTCTTTAAGATGCAGGCGGTGGACTAGCTGAGTCGCTTTCCATAAACGCTCAGTTCTCCGACAGACACGCCTCAAGTTGCGAATGGCGTCATTCATCCATGGGGATGTATTAACAGAGGGAATTTCTCTAGTGTTAAGAGGCGCCACTTTGTCCAACAGCAGGGGGCAGTAATGATTAAACGCCTGTGCACTAGCGTCCACGTCATTTGAAATAAGATCCAAGCTTGCGTCAGTTGCGGCTGAAAATTTCTCAACAGTAAGCTGGTTAATCAAACTTGAGCAGGATGCTCGTTTAGCAGGCAGAGGATCCTCATCACCAACAAGATCAAATAAGATGCATTTGTGATCACTAACAAATACATCTTCGATGCAAACATTATTAATGTTTAAACCTTGAGAAAGAACAAGATCGAGCGTATGTCCCTTGCTGTGCGTAGGACCAGAGACATGCTGAGTGAAATTAAAAGATTCAGTAATATTTACAAATTCAGAAGCATTTTGCTATGACACAGGACAGAGCTCATTCAAGTGATAGTGTATAGTTTTTTTTCAGATGAACCTGCCTCCCTGCCCTTTTTCCTCACTTTCTCTGCCGTCTATTTGTAGGTCGTAATAGGGCCTCTCCCTGCCGCATGCAGACAGCAGTTGCAGTCAGACACACGAAAGGGGCTGCAAACTCACCTGTACCACTCCAGGTACATCCGTCACCACGCTCCGCCATTGAGGATCGGACCAACAGCATTGTTTGGCGATTGTACACCCATGCAGTTGACACAACGTTTGTTGACAAACTTAGTAGCAATATAGCGCAGGAAACAAACAAAATGAGTCGGGACGAACAACCAGCCGCAGTGGCGAAGCCAAACACAGGCACCATACCGGAACCGGAATGTAATGTCCCCAAAAGTGATGGAAACACCATAATGTGTATTTACATTAGAGCCTCCACCACACAGTGAGGATCCGTAGCAGTCGTTCAATGAGCAAGGACTCATTCAAAATGATGAAATAATTGAAGCTGTTATCAGTTAAGGATTCTGCTCTTGTTTTGATTCCATTTCGTGTGTGCTACTGTTTTGCCCATGTTTGTTCTCTGTTCTTTTGATCCTATTTAAGTCTGTTTTTGGTTCTGTGTTTTTCTGCGTAGCCTTTTTTTATTATTCATTCACGTGTCCTAGTTTACTCATTATCTGGTTTCATGGTTTTGGGTTCTGTGTTTCTATAAGCTTTATTTAATCTTGTCATGTTTGGGGTTTTGGTAGCAAAGTTTGTTATGTTTATCTGCATGTTTTTTTACTTGCTTCAGACCCAAACAGGAGACAGGACTACACTAAAACATGGAGACATAGGACTCCATGTTTTAGTGTAGTCCTGTCTCCTGTTTGGTCCAGTCTCAGTCCATGCCCTGATTTTGCAGTCTTTCTATGTTTTGTGTTTTACTCTGGTAGATCTGCCCTAGTGTGTTCCCGTTTGCTATACGTCCTGTTTTACTTTGTGATATTCTGTACTCATGTGTCTTTGCTACCTGATGTGTTTCAGCTGTGCTTCCCTCCCTGCTTGTTTGCCTGTGTTTATAAGCCCTCAGTTTTGTTTAGTCCTTGCTGGTCCTTGTCGTCCAAAGTTGATTGATCTGCTGTGCCTTGTGTTCTGAGTTCTGAAATCCAAAAAAGACGAAGTAATAATCCAAACCAGGGATTATTACTTTTTTGGATTTCAGCCTTGTCTCCACTTTACCTGGATCTGTGAGTCAGCCTGAGTATTTTTGTTTGAGAATAAATCTTTTGTTAAACTGTATCCTCAGCTTGTTTCTGTGTTTGGGTCCTTAACCTAAGTCTGCACTCAGCATACCCCACCCCATGACAGAAGTTTTTACAGAATTACAATCACAAAGTTATATATAGCAACAAATACAGTATATAATCTGGTTATAACAGAAACAGGTAATAATTTAATTATTAGGTTTTAATAAAACAGATAAATAATAGAACTACCCACCAGGCTGACTGATATGTCTCCTGCTGCTACCAGTTACTGCTCAACACCCTTTGCTACAACTGTTACTACTTGTCCTATTGTTATTACCAACATTAAAGTTAGTATAAATATATGTACCACTATTTATTTTTACCTTTACTGTCTGTATTTCTGTGTGGATATTGAGTCGTGGTTCTGCTTGAGGTTTCTAAGTTTTTCTTTTTCTCTGTCGCCAAATGCTGCTCATATTGTTGGGTCACTGTAAATAACATCACAGAGTCTAGACCTGCTGTATATGAAAAACACAATAAGGATAAGGAGATAACTGTGGTTGTGAATTGGCGCTATATAAATAAAATTTAATTGAACTGAATAAACACCAAAGAAAACAGATTTCAGTTAAAAAGAAGTCGATACAGATTTGTGTTTCTCAGGTCCAACACGAGTTCATACATTTTGGTATTTCCAAGTGAATATAAGAGTCCTCTCCGGGAACCATCACCTTATCGTGGTGGAGAGGTTTGCGTGCCCCGATGAGACTGGAGCTGTGTTGTCTGGAGCCTGGTGCTCCTGGTAGGGTCTCCCAAGGCAAAGTGGTTCCAGGTGAGGGGCCAGACTAAGAATAGTTCATAAAGACGCCTGATGAAAAAAGGAGGAAGAGGAGGAGAGACCCTGCCCGGAGGAAGCCCGGGACTCCCGTCTGGAGCCAGGCCCAGAGGGAGGGCTCACCAGCGATCGCCTGATGGCCAGGTTTGCCTGGTGGAGGTTGGGGACACTGAACATGAGTGGCCAATGTTCAAAGCCTCTATTGCTGAAGCCGCAGAGGGAGGCTGTGGTCTCAAGGTCTTAGGTGCCTCAAGGGGCGGTAACCCTCGAACACCGTGGTGGACACCGGTGGTCAGGGAAGCCGTCTGATTCCGGGATTTGTTGTCTCGGAGGACACCGGAGGAAGATGCAAGGCACCGACGGGCCCGAAGGGCTGCAACTTCTGCTGTGGCAGATGCAAAGCAGCAGGTGTGGGAGAAGTTCGGAGAAGACATGGAAAAGGACTTTTGGTTGGCA